GTTGGTAAGCCATGAAATCTCAACGTGCAATATATTGTTAGCTCTGCATGAAAATATTCTTTTGGAAATCCGACATCGCTGCTGATCCAAATGCGGGCTCACTGTCACCTGGGAAATCATAATTTTTCTTATCAAGGTATTGCCAGTTCTTGGGTGTAATTTAAAATTTTAGAAAACGGGATCTGAGATTTAAACTGAAACTAAAACAAAATTAGGTAACCTCTTGACCAAGAGAAGGATCCTCAAATCCTTTTGTGAGGAGCAGAGGTGGATCATGAAAAAGCATTTGGGGAGTGAGAGCCTGAGGTTATTGAGTGCTCCCATGGAAGGATAAAACTTGGAGGCTGAAGAGGCCTCACTTTACTTAAACATTCCCCCCTTGTAGACACAGCCAAAAGAGACGTTTTATGACTGCGGTGACCTTGGAAAGACAGGATTGCACAATTTCACACACCTGTTACAGTGGCGCTCTTTAGAAGTTGCCTTCCATCAGGCATCTGGCCAGCCTAAAGAGAATTTTAATTAAGAAGAGGTTTATGGGGGCGCCTGGGTGGCGCAGTCGGTTAAGCGTCCGACTTCAGCCAGGTCACGATCTCGCGGTCCGTGAGTTCGAGCCCCACGTCAGGCTCTGGGCTGATGGCTCAGAGCCTGGAGCCTGTTTCCGATTCTGTGTCTCCCTCTCTCTCTGACCCTCTCCCGTTCATGCTCTGTCTCTCTCTGTCCCAAAAATAAATAAACGTTGAAAAAAAAAAAAAAAGAAGAGGTTTATGAGGTAACACTGCTTGGTCTCTCTCTTCTCCAAAGCCCTTTTTGATATGGAGCAGAAGGTTGTTCAGTCAATCAGTTGCTTATCAGGCCTATCTTAATGATACCTTGGAAATCAGTATGCGAGGTAAATTGTCCTTAAGCTGTTACTATACTGTCCTAGGAAGTGTGCGCTCTGTCTGTTCATTTCCGAAAGGAGATTTTCTTCATCTTGAGACTCACAGCTGGAGCATGACTAAAACCTAAAACCAGCCAGGAAACCTCCTGCTGGGTGCAGTTTCCCTAGCTTTCAGCATAATTATGCAAATCCATCTGTGACATTAGAGAAAGGCCAGTGACAATGCCAGGCAAATGTTATCCAACTTTCACTTAGCCCCATTTTAGGTATTCACCGAGCTGATATTCAAGCGCTGAAATATGAACGCCATTTAAATGTCTGTGGGGGTTGCATTTTGGTTCCTGCTACTTGGGCGGTTCAATTAAAGGAAGCAACTCATCCACACAGAGGCCTCAGAGGCCTCTCCACTTCTGTCTCCTCAACCAGCTATGCTGCTTTCAGTTTCCTGGTGGTTCTTGTAACACTCCCAGGCGGCGGTGGTTTCCATGACACTGGCCACTGTGAACTCTGCTATTCTGGAATTTGGTTATGTCTGAATGTCAAACAGAAGCACCTGCAGCCAGCGTTTTGTCCGGACTCTTCTGTTTTGTTTTGCTGATTTGTTTTTATGTAGCTCTACCCAGCACAGCCACTGTGGACTAGGAGCCATAAACATGTGGCTTTTCACATAGAAGAAAGTGGCTACAGAAATCGATCTTATCGGTTGGTCCTAGAGGCTACAGAGAAATATGTTTGTGGACATCATGAGCTGGAAACAATCAGAGTATGACTTAGAATGGCCTCTCCATTCTGTACGTGAGTTAGACAACCCAGATTTTCTGATATCCAATCTAGTATGCATTCTACTGCATGACATTGTTTCTAAGGAATGTTTGAAGTCGAGGTCTAGCCTTTCACTGAGGCAATATGGACATCTTCTTCTGCCATAGAATTTGGGAGGTGTCCAGAACCTCTGGAGAGGACCAGAATCCAAAGCCTTACCTCTACCAAAGCAGGGAGCTTGGATATTTGCCCAACAACGATCATGACTATGAAGAGCCAATAACCCGGAGGATGATGTTTTGAGGAAGGTTGAATTACTGAAGGAGTTCACATATTCCAGAAAAGATCAGTTGGCTTTGAGAGACTCTGGTGGCTTCACTGAAGTAGATTTCTTTGGGCAAGCTGGATTCCATGACAGTTAAGCCAGGTATCCAGGAAGTCTGGAAAATATGCACAGTCCATTAAGAAATGTGTTATGGGTTTTCAGGCTTCACCAAAGAGTGACTTGGGAGATTACCAGTGTAGATTACCAGGGCTTTAAGGGGTATAGACCAGAGGACAACAAGGGGGAAGCAAGAAGGGTGGAAGGGGAAAATAAGACCCATACAGATGAAAGGATAATTGAACAACAGAGAGGTATATGAGCAGGAATTCAAAGAAAGGAGGCAGGGATCTTAGTATCCATAATGGGCTTACAGACCAATTGAGCTCTTAACTGTTGAGGTAGAAATAGCAAAGCCAGATTGACAGACCCTGTAAATAGTATAGACAGGACATAGGGTGCCAAAGACAGGATATAGTCTAAGAGTAGAGCTGCTCATGAACCAAACTCTGATACCTGAGTTAAGAAACTGTATCTCCAAGTCTGAGTAAGAGCAAACAAAAACCAGAGATGGAAGGGACAAATCTGATATAAGAACCAATAAAGTGAAGCCAGGACATAAAGAAGGCACTCCATGTTTCTGCAGTTTTATTCCCAACATCTAGCATAGTGCCTGGCACATAGTAGGAGTTCAATAAATGTTTGTCAAATGAATGAATTATGGACGTATGTTCTCTCTGAAAGACCTATTCTTCCGAGTTGGGTGACTGGTGATAGGGACAGAAAGGTGTGGGGGGGGGTAGATTTGAAGGTAACACTTGGGGGGCATGGATGGATGCCTAAAAGATAGACTTAGTATAGTTTATTAATCTGCTGAAAGCAAACTTTTTGTTTCCTTTTATATAAAATGAGATGATATCTCTTTGTGAGCATACTCTTAAGTTCGGAGTGTCAATGTAAATATGAATTATTATCATTATTGTGCACCGTAGCTAAGTCAAGATATGTTTGTTTTCCCTTGTCTGTTTCCTTGGAGCCTTTGTGACTTACAGAATGGGTTTGGGGTATACATGGATTTGATAAATCTCAATGTATTTCTTCCCCTCCCCATGTGAAAGGGACTAATGTGAGGATATTTCTTGTTAGGCTCATATGTCACTACTTGTATCGACTTTAAAAGAGAATCTTTAATGCCCTTATGATCAAAGGGTACAAGGAAAGTCACTAAGTTACCATGCCAAAATATTTTTTGGTCATGAAAATTCAAAAGCACCATGTTTATAAGAGTCTCCCACCCCCTCAATTTTTTTGTTTCTTTTGTTTTTTGCAATGGAACATTGCAGATTGACCTCAAATTCCAGTTCAGTTTAGACCCATAGGAGCTACTTAGCAAATGCATAGTAAACAGGGGCGCCTGGGTGGCTCAGTCGGTTGAGAGTCCGACTTCAGCTCAGGTCATGGTCTCACGATTCATGGGTTCGAGTCCCACGTCGGGATCTGTGCTGACGGCTTGGAGCCTGCAGCGTGCTTTGGATCCTGTGTCTCCCTCTCTCTGCCCCTCCCCTGCTAGTGCTCTTTCTCTCTCAAAAATAAGCAAACATTAAAAAATTTTTAAAAATGCATAGTAAGCAAATGAATCAATGAACTCAGAGGCATGATATATGTTGTGCAGTAAAGGAGATACTCAGATGTCTCACTGGTACTCATCAATGAAAGAAAATAGTATTGTAATCTTCCTTTCTGTAGTCAACTTCTTATAACCCCAGCTGCTGGGTCATGATGTCCTTGACATTCAGCAAAATTGACTGTGTGAAAATGAATCATTACAGAATGTTAACTTTTTAAAAAGTCCAAATTCTAGATGCTTGAATTTTTGCTTACTGGTCCATAGTAGTTTAGCCTAGCGTCTTTGGGTTTGAATTTTGCCTTTCTTCCTTTGCACAAAGTTTGTGTAAGGGCGTCTTACTTTCCTGTTCCATGAAATTATGATGATGACAATATCTGTTGTGTAAGGTTATTGTGAGGTTTGTATATTGCTAAATGTATATCACTATGTAACAGTGCTTGGCTCGTAGGAAGTCCTCAATAAGTGTTTTCTGTTAGTATTATTTTTTCATTATTATTTTAAAAGATTTTTATCAACAGATAGATGGAAGTCTGGGAGAACTGCTGGTAAACCGAGCTTAACGTGCTGGTAAAAGTATTCTGTAGTGCTTTCCAACAATTTGTTTTAAATGTACAATGATGTTTTAGGATAGTAATTGAATTGTGAACAAAGTGCCATATGGGGAAAGGAATACAGAGATGAGACTTAAAAGAGAAAAAGAATAGCTTAGGAGAGAGTGTAGAAAGAGAAAAGGACCTCAGACCTGAACCTTAGAGCAAACCCACCAACTGGAGTTAGTAAAGTTAGCCAAAAGAGGAGAGTTCGAGAAGTAGAACTAGAGTATCTACGCAAAACACAAGGGAGGAGGCACATTTTACAAGGGATAGGTCAGCAGTTTCAAATACATCTGCAGAGGAAGCAAGGATGATTAGGTTGAGAAGTCTATTCATTTTTGTTAGATTGTTTCTTGATAGCAAGGATCGAGTTTTACTAATATTTGTATTCATTTTGCCGGCATGGTGCCTGGCTCATGGTAGGTAGTCAATGTACACTTGTTAAATGAACGAATGAGAGGGACGTGGGAAAGGGGATTTTCCATGGAGTTTCACGACAGAAATCGGATTTCAAAAGGTAAAAAGTAATTGGATGCTGAGAAGATGGGAGGCACCAGTTGAGGAAATGGTTATATCACAGGTGGGAGAATTAGGAACATAACTGAAAGAAGTCACGAGTAAATAAAAGGTCTTTTTGAAAACACTGTTGGCAGGGGGGAGGTGGGGGACCTGGGTGTATTTTTTATGTAGACAGAAGAGGGCAGTAAAGAGGAAGCGATTGAAGATGTCCCCAAAAGAAGGGGTGAATGATGGAAAAAGAAATAGGATGGGAAGGAGAACGTACAAGTGGAACACCTTATCCTCTGTGATTTAGGAAAGGAAGGTCTACGGCCATACCACCCTGAACGCGTCCGATCTCATCTGATCTAAGAAAGGAACGTCTGACCAAGGTGAGGTTTGGGGATGGAAGGGAGGGGCCATTAGAGATACTGTGCCGGGTGGTCTAAGTGTCCTTGGTATTGGAGAGTATAGGTGGGGCTAGGGAATTGAACCAGAAAGATCAGAAACAACTCTACAGGATGCTTTATCTCTGATCTGTGGGGTGGAAGATTGGGCCCATTGGCCTTAGCCAAAGGCTAAGGGTTTCACGTATTCCTCGGGTTCTGAAATTATTTCCTAAGAATATTTTGTATATTTGGAATTAATTTAAGTCATTCATACTAAAGCTGGAGGAAATAGATATATAGATAAATCTTTTAAGCACCAAGCAGCACTTTTATAAAATGGTGTAAATTCATGTCGAGTCCTACGAATGTTCATTATTATCAATAGTCACTTTGGCAGAGCATAATTAATTTTATTTCGTTTGCTCTCTCAACGCTAAGGCAATAACATTTTTAAATCTCAGAAAAGAGATGCTTTAGTGTTTTCATGACAATAATTCAAATGTGTCACCATCACATTTGTAGCTCTGTGGATTCCAGGATTTGAATTTAATCAGCCTCTGTTAAATAGTTTTTGGTGAGTTCTTTTGTATTTGTGTTTTAATGTTTTTGCCTCATCATTTAAAAATTTTTTTAAAGGTTTTATTTAAATTCCAGTTAGTTAATACACAGTATAATGTTAGTTTCAGGTGTATAATATAGCGATTTAACATTTCGGTTTTTAAATTGTTTTATGTTTAGTTTTGAGAGAGAGAGAGAGAGAGCGCGCTCACACAGGGAAGAGGCAGAGAGAGAGAGGAAGAGACAGAATCCCAAGCAGGCTCTGTGCTGTTAGCACAGAGCCCAATCCGGGGCTCAAACTCATGAACCATGAAGTCATGACCTGAGCCAAAGCCAAGACTCCCACGCTTAACTGACTGAGCCACCCACGTGCTCCATGATTCAACATTTCCATACAACACCGGGTGCCTCATGACAACAGGTGCCTCAATACTTTTTTTCAAAAGAGAAGGATTGATATATGTCTGAATGAGGGCAACTGGACTGAATCTGAGCCAAAAATTTCAAGTTGATTTGGTCCATTTTCCTTAGAGTTTTGGATGTTTCTGTTACAGGAAGTTGCTTAAAATCTCTAGGTTTTTCCACGTCCACAGCTTTTAACATCTAGATTTCACCCTCAATATCTCTTTCCGTTTGCTTCAGTGGAGAGAGCAAGAGAGAGTGAGCTGATGAGAGGCAGAGAGAGAGGGGGACAGAGGATCCAAAGCGGGTTCTGTGCTGACAGCAGAGAGCCCGATGTGGGACTCAAACTCATGAACCATGAGATCATGACCTGAGCGGAAGTCAGATGTTCAACTGACAGAGCCACCCAGGTGCCTCAGATCTGGATCGAATTTAATACTTGGTGCTTCCTTGAATTTTGGGGCAGCCTACAGCTTTCATATTGGCCAGTTTATCACAAAAGCTGATTTTCCCCTCTTACAGTTCTTCGTGATTTTCCCTGTTCATTCTGCTCTTTGACAGCAAAATTACTCTCTAAAAACTTCAATGTGTGTTTAAAATCTGAATTCCGATTGCTGAGAGTTTCAGGGTTTTACGCTTTTTGTTTTTGTTAAGGCAGGATGTTTTGATTTTTGAGAACTTGTTCATCAACTATCCAGCTTATTTTGCATGGATTTTAAGTTACCTTTTAACATCTCTGTCTTTTGTGTTTAGTATATTTAAGGTGGACACCATTATTATAACCCATCGGCCACGAGTTCCTGAGGCTCAGTTCTACCACATTTTATTAAATTGTAAAGATATAGTTTTAATTCTCAAGCATGTAGATGCAAAGGCTGCATTCAGATATTTTCTGCCCACAGTAAGTTCCATAACTGAGCGAGTTTCCTTCTTCACTTTGGCCAGTAGATATCTTAAAACCAAATTTGAAGTCTATTTTCAGTAACTTCGTACGACCACACGTATACATTTCTGGCGGCAGATCTCCCCCGCCCACCAGTTTTATGATTTTCCATTTGTCCTGTTTCTTTAAACTTTTTGTTTGAGGCTCCTGGCTGGCTCAGTCGGTTAAGTATCTGACTTTTAATTTTGGCTCAGGTCATGATCTCATGGTTCATGAGTTTGAACCCCCTGGCAAATCTCTCTCTGCCCCTCCCTTGCTCGCACGCTCTCTCAAAATAAATAAATAAACTTAAAAAGTAAAATACACTGTTTTTTTTTTCTTATTTTATACATGCTTATGACTTCAAGCCCTTGGCAGAAGGAGGTAGATGGTAAGTAAGTACAGATAAATGGGGTCTATAGCACAGACTTCCTATAACCTCCTGGTTTTCTGGAAGACACTTTAAGAAATTTGTTATCACCTCCTAAACCAGCACTACCATGGATAGAAATGTTTACCTAGTCACTTCCTAAGAGGTTTCTGTGGAGGAGCCACACGACATAAATCTGGAGAAACTTCCAGCCACATCGACTGCCATTATCTTATCCCTGAAGGGTCAATAACCTTGGAGAGTAGGCGTTTGCAACAGAGCTGTGGAAAGTGCCTTAGCAAGTTAGGGCCATGCCATCTTCTACTCAGGGCCACTGCTTAGTACTGCTGCAAGTATTATAATCTTAAAAAAAATGCCTTGCCATGAACTCTCTGAATATGGTACAACTTCTGTCTTCTGTTACCTTGAAGCAGAAATGCTTACCTGAAGTAAGGCGATGTGACATTATGTGATACTGCTAGGACGTTGAAAAAATGCATATCGGAAGACAAAGTCTAAGAATGGCCCTTCCTTTTTGAGAATCTGCATTGTATAACCTTGAGTCAGTGAGCGCAACTTCAATCATCCAGAGCCTGAGCATAGGTTTGTATATTTGCAGGGACCTGTAGATTTGGGGCACGCGTGCGGTCTGTGTTCTGTTGACTCAGTTGGTCCGAATTCTGAGTGTTTTGAGCAGGCTTACTATTGGTAACTGCTCTTTTGATCTAGAAGACATTTAGCAATACTGTTTTACCACCTAGGAGCTTTTTCTGGGCCATTAAACATGTCAAATTGAATCCAGTCAAGAGTTTTACCATGTTCTCCATATATAGGGTGATTCTGCTGAATCTTATTGAAGAAATCATCAAGCAGTATTGAGTTTGATGGTGCAATTCAGGGTCGTAAGCCCTCAGAGCTGTTGCTGAGGATTTTGTTATTTACGTTTCTGACCTCAGGGTGGAAACGTGCCCCTTTTGACAATTTCACGCACTATGTGGATCTCATGTGAAGGTAGAAAGATGAGCGATCTTTAAATGGCATATGTTTGTGAGCCGCAGATGGTCAAGAACACCTTATGAGTCTGCTTTGCATTTTCAAAGTCTATATCAAGGTAAAATGGAATCTCTTGGCAAGTTTGGCTTCACAACACTCACCTGGCACCAGAGTACCATTCCTTCCACACAACACACAAATATTATACAAAAACATTGCCTTGCTTCCTGGAAGAAGAACACATAGTAGTTCATGAAGGAACAAGCTCCCAGTGGGGGAGTAGGCGGATGGGGCAACAGGTGGTTAACCTGACCTAGGCTGATAAAGACTGGGTGCTGGGTGTCAGCATGGCAGAACTTCCTGCTGGAGACAGGGTGGGCCTCTTGTGATCTATCCTGGTTTGCCTGTGCTTCTGAACTACCTTATTCTTTTTTTTATTGAACAAATTTTGCATACAACAGTTGTGTAAATTGAAGGCGTACAACCGGTTAACTTTGATAAATTTATATATTGTAATATGTTGCCATTATAGTGATATTTATCACATCATATAAGTATAGTGCAGCATTGTTGTCTATAATCGTTACACTGTACATTAGAGCACTGTGGCTTGTTTAGGAGTCATTGCGAGTTTGTACCCTTAAACAGCACCCACCCCCTCTTCCTGCTCCCTCTCCCCTGGTAACCACCATTTTACTGTTTTTTTTTTAAACAGATTTGATTTTTTGTAATTTTTTAATGTTTATTTTTGAGAGAGAGAGAGAGAGAGAGAACGAGTGGGGGAGGGGCAAAGAGAGAGGGAGACACAGAATCCGAAGCAGGCTCCAGGCTGTGAGCTGTCAGCACAGAGCCTGATGCGGGGCTTGAACTCAAAAACTGTGAGATCATGACCCGATGCTTAACCAACTGAACCACCCAGGCGCCCCTGATTTTTTTTTTAATTCCACATATAAGTGATATTATACAATACTTGTCTTTCTCTGTCTTACTTATATCACTTAGCGCAATGTGCTTAAGGTCCATCCATGTTGTCACAAATGGCAGGATATCCTCCTTTCTGATGGCTGAATAATATTCCATTGTGTATATTTACAACTGTTTTACACATTCATCCATTGGTGGGCATGGAACAAACTGATCAAAAATGGCAGAAGAGCTAAATAGACATTTTTTTCCAAAAAGGACATGAAAATGGCCAAGAGGTACATGAAAAGATGATCAACATCACTCCTCATCAGGGAAATGCAAATCAAAATTACAGTGAGCTATCCCCTCACACCTGTTAGAATCATCAAGAAGACAAGAGACAACAGGTGCCGAAGACAATGTGGTGAAAAGGGAACCCTTATACACTGTTGGGGGGAATGTAAATGGGTCAACCACTATGGAAAACAATATGAAGTTTCCTCATGGGGCGCCTGGGTGGCGCAGTCGGTTAAGCGTCCGACTTCAGCCAGGTCACGATCTCGCGGTCCGTGAGTTCGAGCCCCGCGTCGGGCTCTGGGCTGATGGCTCAGAGCCTGGAGCCTGTTTCTGATTCTGTGTCTCCCTCTCTCTCTGCCCCTCCCCCTTTCATGCTCTGTCTCTCTCTGTCCCAAAAATAAATAAACGTTGAAAAAAAAATTAAAAAAAAAATGAAGTTTCCTCAAAAAATTTAAAATACAAATGCCATACAATCCAGAAATTCCACTTCTGGGTAGACACCCAAAGGAAATGAAAACAAGATTTTGAAGAGATATCTGACCTCCCTTGTACTTAACCTATAAATAGCAGTCTAACTCTGACTTCCTGTGTCCCTGACACTTTCACCTCTGGAAAACCATAATTTAACGTCCTAGTCTCCATGTTTAAAACCAAGCATGATACAATGGTTCCATCACCACCCCCAATGCCTGCCCTTTTTCCTGGTAGTTTTACTTCTCTATTTGATCCTTGATCACTTCCAAACTCAGACAAACCTAGTCATTGTTATCCAAAAGGAAGGGCCTGGGTCCTAAACACTCTATGAAAACAGGTTCAAATAAAATATGTGTGTGTGTATATGTATATGTATATGTATATGTATATGTATACACACACATATATGTTTTTTTCTCTTGTGCTATGGCATTGTGTTGCTAAGAGAGATATTCAAAATATTTAACAATCAGAACACAATGCCAACAGTCAAGGTGACTCTGCAAGTCTTGGAAACTTTTAAGGCTGTAATTGGGCATATCAGCTGAATATCAGCCTTGGCCATAACATTTCCACCAGATGAATCCTAAAGCATTTTACAAGCATAAAGTCAGTCTTTAATCAATCAATCAATGAATCAATCAATCAATTAAATGTTTATTGCAAACCTACTATGTGCCACACACTGTAAAGTACTGGTTATAATAAGACCTATGAGCTAAAAAAAATTTATAAGCTATCCTATAATTATACGAGGGTTGGAAACTGTGTTAGATTTCCTCCGAAATCTAGAAGAATAAACACTCTGTGCTGATGGGAAACTACGTTCCTAATGATTTGGACAATCTAAAAGTGACAAGCATTGGGTTTTCTTATTTATAATATCAGTAGGGGAAGGATTTAGGATGTTTTTTTCTCCGTTCTGGGGCCCCAAAGAACTGTACAGGAAGAGGTGAGTTAACTAAACCCTTAAGCGTAATGCCTAGGAAGGAGAGGGAAAAGAAACTTTCATATTACTTCTGGATTCTCATATTTTTATTAAATTAAAGAGAACTTATTTCCAACAACATTATTCTTAATTTCTTCAGGTGCTTTGATAGTTGGTGAGGACCTGAAACTACAGACTGTAGACCAAACAGAAGGGAGAAAAGACATTCAGGGTGAGCACTGAGGAGAGTTTGCATGCCTAATGAATTATCCAGAAATCCTGGGTGTGGGGGGGTGTCTCCCACCAGGCTGGGGCCAATTATCCAGATGTTGTGGCTGGAGTGAATGATGTGGGAGGGTTTGCTCTGCAGGTAATGAACTTGATGAATGTTCCTTTACTTCAACATGTGGCACAACTGAACACATATATTCCTCTCAGGATTATATTTTTATAGCAAAGCCAAAAAGAGGTATGAATCCAATGCTTCATTTCTTTTCAAATTAGCATTTATTTTGGATGTCTTCTGAATAAGGGGAACATGAGCTATAATATCAGGCCTTAGGAAACTCCTGTGAAAGAAATTCCTCTAAGAACCTTCTGGATGCCATGAGAGTTTTGAATATCTCAGAGAGCCTGAAATCTTCTGGACACTGATTGATGCTTAAACCGTCTCAAAATCCGAGTTTAAGCTGGCAGGTAAATAGTAAGATGCTCAGTAAATGGATGTGTAGATGGATCGGAGGGAAACGGAACTGTTTTTGTTTGAAGAATCATTTTTGCGTTGTTTTGCTTGTTTTTCTTGAAGAATGAGGAAATTTGAGAACTTTTACTTTTCTAAGTTTATTCATTTATTTTGAGAGAGAGAGAGAGAGTGCGAGTACGGGAAGGACAGAGACAGAGGGGCTTGAACTCATGAACTGTGAGATCGTGACATGAGCCGAAATCGAGTCGGACACCCAACCCAGTGAGCCACCCAGGCCCCCTGAGAACTGCTACTTTTAACAGAACTTTCTGGCATAGACAACAACTTCCCAGAATACATTTAGTGAAGGGAGTCATCAATTGTTGATTGAAGGCTGAAGCAATTGTGATCCTTACTTCCTTTCCTCATAACATTCTCTTCCGTCATAATGTCTCTTGCCCAATGATGAGGAAAAATGAATGAATGATTTTGTCTGATATCCCTCCTGGGCAGGGACCGTGTTTACTAGGAGTGATCCCACTGAAGGCATCGTCAGAGGAGTTGAGAAGGTAGAAACAATTCTGCTGAATGTAAAAGGAAGATAACTTAATAATTGTTTAGGCCTCTGTAGTTGTCTTGATTATGACTTTAAAAACTTATCCATGGAGGAAATTACACCTCTATAAGTAGCACTGGTTTTAGAATTCATCTTCATTAGTGTCCTTTATCATGAGTAAAATGCCTCCTCAGAGGGGAAAATTTGTTTTAATTTTTTTAATGTTTATTTTTTTTTTTTGAGAGAGGGAGAGACAGAGTGTGAGTGGGGGCGGGGGAGAGAGAGAGGGAGGGAGACACAGAATCCGAAGCAGGCTCCAGGCTCCGACCTGTCAGCACAAAACCCAACGTGAGTCTCGAACCCGTGAACCGTGAGATCATGACCTGAGCTGAGGGAAATTTTTAAGTAATCATGGTAATCATGAATTTTTTTTCCAAGTCTGCCAAAAAAAAAAAAAAAAAAATTAAAAAAAAGCCCTTTCAGACACTTTTCCAAGAATAGTTAAATAAATTTAAACACATTTCATTTTTAAAAACACATTAATACATTTGTTGTACTTAATGCACAATACTAAATAGTTTGCTTTAGTGATAGTGCATCTAAATGCTGTTTTTTAAATTTTTTTTAATTTTTATTTTTCAAGTTTATTTATTTATTTTGAGAGAGACAGAGACAGTGTGAGCATGGGAGGGGCAGAAAGGGAGGGAGGAGGAGAGAGAGAGAGAGAGAGAGAGGAAGAATCCCAAGCAGACTCAACACTGTCAGCGTAGAGTCAGATGCTGGTCTCGAACTCACAAAAACTGCGAGATGATGACCTGAGCCGAAACCAAGAGTCAGACCCTTAACCGACTGAGCCACTTGGGCACCCCTAAATACCGTGTATTTTTTTAAAAAGAAGACTATTCAGAAAAGGTAGAAAGAAGTTATAACCCTTTGGTTTTGTTCCAATTCAGATCATGTCTACATAATGTTAATCTTAACAAATTACCTGCTTTGGTCTTTGATGAATCTATCTGTGGAAACTAAAGACTATCTTCATCTGCATACTCAAATTGTCATATTGTCTAGGAATCACTGATTCTGTCCTTAAACATTGTAGCATCCACAAAGTCCTTACAATGACTGTACCTTGAGAGAGAACCTAGCTGTTGTTTGTCGAACAAGTTACTTGTTTTTCAAGCTTCACAAATCAAAGGGGCTAAACTTTCTTGATTGTGAATCTTCAGGGAAAGGGCTCAAATTAATTTAATCATTTTGAAAGCACCAGCTAAATTGTCAGTACTATGCCAGGTACTGCATCTGGAAAGGGAGATAAATGGAGCAAAATGCTACTCTGTTTATTTAGAGCTCAGATATTTGGCACCTGCAAATGCCTAGAATATTTGCAAACTGAAGTAAATAAAGAAGCCTCCAAGCGCAACCATTCTTTTGCAAAATAGCTGAGAAGATGCAATGTGTTTGGCTAATTTTCCAAGCGGAATAAAAGACTGTTCTGTTTGACTAGTGATGATGTCTGTATGAGTCAAACCTTGATAGTGACAGCATTCCAGTTTTCATAAAATGGAAACAAAAAGATGGAAAAAAAAGTTTATTTTCACCAAAATGTACCAAAACCTGGGCACGCCTTGTAGTTTTGCACGATTTTTTTTTGCAACAAAATGCTTAAAAGGCTGAAGTAGTCAAGGACTTCCATTTTCCAAGGACTTCTCTGAAACTTTTGATATTCAAATCATTTTCTTCAATGTATCTATCTTGGTATCATCCTTGCCAGTTTCCTTTTCTTCATTCTTCTTTTGATAGCTGGACTTACTGTACCAGATCGGGGTAGTTCCTCAGCATCAGTTTCATCAACTGTATGAAATCCTAAATGTGTTGCAGGATTTGTAGTTTCACTTTGAAATCGGTTTGCCTTGTATCGTCTGACAATATCAGGAAACCTGCCAGACAATGATCAACATAGGTTCCTACTAGGCAGGAAGAGATGTTTGGGTAGAGACTAATTTTATAGGTGGTCAGTTCATTTTTGAATAATTTGTATTATAATAACTCTTGTTTCTCCCTTCATACCCTCTTAATTCTGGGGACACAGGTAATGGATACTCGGCTAATGAAGAGGAGAAATTCAGAGGCTTTGAATGAGATTATTTAGTTACAGTGTTCTAAATGCAAGATTTTGCTGTACTATTTCATTATCAAAAAGAATGTACTTATCTCTTACACTGAAGCCTTGAGCACATATTTTTATTGTTCTAAATGTTAAATGTGAATGGATTCTGTCTCCTCTAAATGATAAGGAATTTCCCAAGGGCAGGACGTCTGGTAGCAAAACAGAATATATCTAACATGATGGAAGAATACTTTTTGAGGTAGCACTCAGCCCAGAAGTTGTTCATTTTCTTGTTAAAATTCAGAGGGCCTTATAAGAATGTCTCCCAAACGTGTCCTTTGGAATGTTTACTTTCTATGAGAAATTAACAGATGTTCCAAGAGAAAACATGTCCATGTTCAAAATTAACTTGGGAAGGGAATGCAAAAAGGTGCAGGTGCCATCGAAAACAACATTGTGGTTCCTCAAAAAATTTAAAAATGGAACTACCATATGATCCAGCAATCCCACTATTGGGTGTTTATCCCAAATCAGGATCTCAAAGAGCTACCAGCACTCCTATGTTCATAGCAGAACTGTTCACAATAGTCAAGATACAAAAACAATCTAAATGTCCATCAGTGGATGGATGGATGAAAATGTGGTATATACATAAAATAAAGTACTATGCAGCATTTAAAAAAGAAGGAAGTCTTGTCATATGCTACAACATGGATGAAACTTGAGGGCATTCTGCTAAGTGAAATAAGCCAGTCATGAAAAGACAAATACTGCGTGATTCCACTTAAATGAGGCATCTAAAGAAGTCAATTTCTTTTTTTGTGTAAGATTTTATTTTTAAGTAATCTCTACACCCAGCGTTGACCTCAAACTCACAACCCCAAGATCAAGAGTCATATACTCTGCACACTGAACCAGCCAGGTGCCCTAAAATAGTCAACTTTACAGAAACAGGAAATAGAATGGTAGTTGCCAGCGGCTGTGGGGAGGAGGGAAAGGGGAATTGTTGTTCAGTGGGTATAGAGTTTTAGTTTTGCAAGATGAAATAGTTCTAGAGATCCGTTGCACAACCATGTACATATAGTTAACAGTGCCATACTCTCCACTTAAAAGTAGTTAGATAGTAAATTTTATTATACGTTTTTTTTTTCCAACAATAAAAAAAAAAAGCTTGTGGAAAATATCATACGTTGAATCTTCCTTTAGGTATTTGCCTTGAATATTAGCATAGTATTAGTGTTGAGAATCACTCCAATAAGGAAACTTGTTGAACTTTCTTTAACCCACTACTTCCCAAGCTCATTTTTTTTCATTGTTAGTGAGGAATATTTATTAACCTTCTAGAGGACATTACCCAGCACAGCACAGAGAGAAAAAAAAAATTATTTCCGGGCAGCTGTAATAGATTCAGTTTTGGAGATAAAATATTTAACAGAGTCCATAGTTCTTCGAACATCTATAAAAGTCATTGCAGTAGTAAATAAAAAAAAAAAAACCAAGAGCTATAGAAATATATTTGATGAAAACTGTATTTAGTTCAGTGATTCCCGAACCTGGCTACATCTGCTGGGTCACTTTAAAAGACATAGTTTAGGCTTTCTGATTTAATAGATTTCAAGAGCAGCCAGGTTTGGGAATCATGACTTTCGAAGTCTGAGTTTTGAATAACTGCATACAGAGAGGTTGAGAATCATTTGAGATTTTCATATTTGCCATGATATAAGGAAATGAGGGCACAGATCATGGATGAAGACAGGATAACAAATTTTTTTCACGAATTCCTAAGAAAGGACTGGAAGTCAATACCCAAACCCTTATTAGTGATGCTTGAAATTGTTTGCATATCGGTTTATACATATTCATGCTAAAGTGAACTGCTTAATAAAT